CCATGGGAGGGGGTCGTATTCGCAGGAGTCAACGTCGCAATGCGTGGAATGACGAAATGTAACACAGATGGGAATAAAGCTTTAGGCTCAGGCTCACAGCATTGAATGATTAGAATCCGGACCTTTGTTGTCGCTACAGAAGGCGAAGGGTATAAATTTCAAAGCTTCTACAACTATTAAAGGAATCTTCCGCGGAAAAAGCTCCGCCTCCATTACCACAGAAAAACGATACCCCTTAGGCCCCTAGCCTCATGAGCATAGCAAAAAGAACGGAACATAAGCGTTAGTTTCGATAATACTAATCCTACACACAAGACAAAATGATCACTCTTTCCGTGGAAGATTCCTTTAAGGTATCGTTTTCTGTGGTAATGAGGGCGGAGCTTTTTCCGTGGAAGATTCCTTTAATAGTTGTAGAAGCTTTGAAATTTATACCTTTCGCCTTCTGTAGCGACAACAAAGGTCCGGATTCTAATCATTCAATGCTGTGAGCCTGAGCCTAAAGCTTTATTCCCATCTGTGTTACATTTCGCCATTCCACGCATTGCGACGTTGACTACTGCGAATACGACCCCCTCCCATGGACTTGGGCTATCCACTGCGCCGCTGGATCCACAACACACTCATAGGAAAACCCTTATGAAGTCATGACAATTTCTTCCACTCATTGCACGGACAAACGCATCATTTTGCCTGGAGTTAGCGTTGTTGTCAATGATGGATAGCGCCATCAAATAATAGCTTTAATATGACACCAGACAATGTTGTGGACGATATGGACCAATATGAAGCAGTAAACACGTCAGTTCCCAATTTGGTTTTTTCGCCCCTTTTTGGTATTCAGGAAACATTTAGGAAAACGAACAGAAGTTTTGTGGTCCTACATGTGCTCCTATATCATGCAAAGAACTGTGTTGAAAAGCTTGGCACACCGTGAAAGACCTTCCTTGTGAGCGCCCCTCGTGTGCCGATGTCTAGGCGAAATTCGTTCAGGATAAGCGGTTGGGTGGTCTTGCGGAAAAAGCAAATTTTACGCGATGCAAACGTCGAAATAGAAAGCCTGAAAGGAGCACCGTAAGTAGCACAGTCGTTCCTTTTACATACCACCCATGAAAGTTTCCAGAGCACTTCAGTTTCCAAATCCAGAAACAGCGCGAAAGCTGTTCCAAGACTTTCTTTCAAACTAATAAGAGGTAAGAATTCGTGGCCAACTTCGCATTTCTTAGTACCGAAGGTCAACGCCCCCTCGAGATGGGAAAACACTGACGATGGGAAACATTATGAATTGAACCCGTGGGGAAAATAAGATATTAGAAGAATTCTCACCGAGTTTGATGTGTACAACCCCATCCGATGAGTAATATGCGTTTCGTGAAGTCAATAGTTTACCAAACACTTTTATTCAGATATCAGAATCATTCAACAGCGCATTAGCCAATACTTACGATTGATTGCCACCCTTATCCGGCTCACAACTCTTATTTTTCAGAAAACCGCTCCTCTGGAAAAGAACGTCACTGTTCACCATCCTTTGATCCTCGCCCACATAATACATGCTTTGCCACGAATATACTTCCGCATGCTGATGACCAGTGCTGATCATAGGTGCTCTTATTCTGCGAGACGCCGTAAGAGCACAGTCGCAATTAGCCGGGACTCGTAATGAAAAAGCGGCACATTGTGAAAAATCAATAATGGATTTTTGCAGAACACATGACTCTACTAATTTACTTTTGGAACACTAAATCAAAAGATCCCTTTAATAGAGACAGAACACCACGACTAACTTAACAAACACAACCGCAACATAACATTACAAGAACATTGTTGGATAAAAGATATCGTACAAGAGGGTTTACTTTCGCAAAAAAAAAACAGGAAAATACGTAATAATACTACGCAAAATTCGAAAATACAGCGAACTCAAAGAAACACTTCGAACGCCACTTTTCTTCAACGACTTCCTGATCGACTTCGGCTTCGTGAACCACGAGTATCAGAACCAGCCCGCTCCGGCGATTCTTCCTTGCCATTTGGTGACGCCGATCGGCGCCCACCTCGAGGGCTAGCACTACGGCTGCGACTTCGACGAGGCTGAATTGACTAGATTTGGGAATAAACTTTTGGGACATTACATTTTCCACGATACGCAGTGGAAATACTTTTCAGTGAAGCACTACTAGCAAGCTTCATGATATCTATGTTTAGCATTTACAAGGATGTTCAATAGGAGCTTATTTGCATAAAATTTTGGAATGTCTATCTAGCTCTTCAGCATATTAATTGTGGTTTTGGATTATTAGGCGAAGATTGATTACTGATAAGGACTTCTACGTCTTCTTGTAAGCTTCAGACGCGGGGAGTAGTTTCAATTGTACCAAAATTTCCCCTACACAACCTCCTAGATTTTTTTACCCTCCGTCCCTTCGAAATAAGAGTTCATCTTCCAAGTTCTCAATACCCTCTCTGAAAATATATAATATGGGAGCTTAAGACTACATATACTTGGTATATTGCTACCGCCAAAAACTCATTACAAACACTACTTTCAAGGACAATTTTGCCGAATGCTGAGTGCAGAATATTTCG